TAGGAAGGGAGAAAAAAAGTTTCAATATATTTCCGGTCATGGCAACCCGGTACAGACATGTATTATATATGGACTATGGATCAGGGGACATAAGTAAAAAATCCAGATTTTAAGAAATGCAGTTTTCTGATTGGATAGAAATATTGCATTTGTAATCGATTTTATTGATTGACCAATCAGATGACTGGAACACAAAAATCATTTTAAGTTTTAAGTTAGGTTTTCAATAGAAAAGAAGATAAAAAATGTTTCTCTCTTGTTATGATGAAGCAGATGTTATGTAACCAGTATAAAAGAGAGAGAATATTGTGTGTATATGTATTATTGATTGTATAAAAAAAGAAAGGTTAAGTATATATAAATGATAACAAATCAGTAATTGTCAGTATATTGACAGCTTGTTATTGTGTAATAATTTACTGACTCCATATCTCTTGGTAGGAAACTGAAAGAGTAGGACTGGAGTGTCTGTATAGGCATAGATTGAGATAATACCCTCAGATTTTTCAACCTGGTTTGCAACTGAATAGGTTAAATTAAAGACAAGGTAATAAAAAACGAAATAAAAGTTTGGTCTAATTTTAATAAAACTGTTACACCCACCTGAGTACTTATATTATTGTAGTGGCGCTGAATTCATTTAAGTTGACTTGTTTGTTTTTAACTATGTGTATCATCAACCATGATAAATAAAAGTGTAGCATTGGATGTTATAGTAGAATGAGCATGTACAGCCTTTCTAGTGCTGGAGTGATAAATAGGTGAATCGATGTCTTGCAATTAGACAGTAGGACGTAAAACTCCATTCATTTCATTTCATTTTTGCGATAAGACGTGCTACGGTACATGTATCGTGAGGATGTGTATCAATACTTGACGATACCTCTCACACGTAAGAACCATTGGTCCAACCATACTTGGAGGGTCTGAGAGCGTTTTCTAACAAAAATATTTCGAAAATAGAATTGAATTGGTGCTCTCTAAAACATTTTTTAAGCAAAAAATATATATGTCATATTTTGAAATTGAGGTGGGGATACAATTTGTACAAATCCCCTTCCCCTATACCCTCACTGTCTCTACCATTGATTTAGGTGTAGGTTTATCATCCAGCATGCAATGTGCCGGTGGGACCAATAAGTTGTCTCTTTAGATAAACTTCATACCTTGTTATAAATAGAAATTCCAGTGTGTATTATTGATTGAAATATAAATAGACAAGATACAGACGACATTCCAATCTCTGTCACTACCCATTATTATTACATTCAGCATCCATTTAAACATTTTATAAAATATGGAATATGTGCTCACCTCAGGTTATGAGTTTAAGTGGCTAGCTTTGTCAGATCAGAGACTGTAGATAAAGAGCTCTTTGAAGGCTTTAGACTTGCTAAGACATACATCACATATGTATATCATATGTGTGACTGTGAACTATTGTCTAAAACCTTTTGACTTGAATGTAATTTTATGATCTGGAAAGACTAGGGAGTTGCAAACTTGCAATAGTGTCTGACTGTGAACTTGCATTGGAGTATTTATATTTTTATGGATAGTTTGGGCTTGTCATATCTATTCTGTATGTTTGGTGATGTACTGTTGTGTGGATATTAATCTTATATTCTTGAAAGACTTGGAACTTGCAATGATATACTGTACATGTATGATTGATTATTATCTTCAGCAGGGAACATATCTTCAGTGTGTCTTTGGTGCTTCATTGATACTGGTTAATGAATTTTGAGCTATGGCAGGGTTTGTACTTGGCAATATTGAGAGTGAAGTGAAGTGCTTTTAGAGGGAAGTCTATTGTAAACTTGGTATTAAGAGTGATTATTTTCCTCAAATTTTCAGTGTTTGTGTTCTGAAGGAGCAATGGGATTTCAAATCAACTTTTCAAATGTTTTTATTATGTTAAGTTCTGTGAGACCTGGATAGGATTCTGAACCTTAATTGATAAGAAAAGTCTGATTCAGTATAATTTACAATAAAATCAACTGTACTCTAACTTGCTGTATAGTGAGTCATCATTATTAGTAAAGACACATACCAGTACTGGTTCCCTCCAAGAATTTAAAATGGAGGGTAAAAAGCCAACTCTCATTTTCGGTAATTAATTTAATTTCTCACTATGTTGATGTATATTGTACATTTTTCACTATGTTGATGTATATTGTACATTTTTCACTATGTTGATGTATATTGTACATTTTTCACTATGTTGATGTATATTGTACATTTTTCACTATGTTGATGTATATTGTACATTTTTCACTATGTTGATGTATATTGTACATTTTTCACTATGTTGATGTATATTGTACATTTTTCACTATGTTGATGTTTATTGTACATGCCGATGTCGTCAAATGTTTCAGCAGTTTTGTGTACAAGCTTTGTACAAATCATTTCATTCAGATGGGACTGGTATAAACTTATATACAGTGTCTCAAGGTCAATCAAATTTCTGCCTTCTCCAACGCTGGGATTTTAACGTCACAAAACCCCAGTATTGGAGATGGCAGAAATTTGATTGGCTGTTGGTATCGATAAACTGATGAGGGTTTGGAGGGCCATCTTCAGACGTTAACTAAAGTGGCTAAAGAATTAAAAATAAAAGTTAATAAAAACCGGAACAAAAGTTTGGTCTTATAATGATTGGACTGCTTAAGGTGCTCATTGACAATTGTTTATAATAAAAAAGGTAGGCTAATGATGTTATCCTGACAATGTTTGCCCTCATTGTACATTCCATGGTGTTGCCTATCTTCATCCAAATCAGGAAGAGAAAACAGGTTGATAAACCCCCATTTCATGCTGAAAGTAGCCTATAGATAAAGCCAAAAGGAAAGGAATAGGATAAGTAAAATCTTGGTCTGACTTCTTTGCAGTAGACATGACTGGTAAATAGAGTCAATGAGCAGTCATGTATTTAATGTAGTATTATTTAAAACAATGAGATATTTGGACAGTAGACAGCTGTAGTGTTTAAAACATGTGGTTTCTATACCACTCTAGTCTACAACTACTGTGTGTCCAGGTTTATTTCTGTTACTATCGAACCTTTGAAGTCTGGTGAAAGAGAGAGTTGCATGAGTTTGGATTGATGAGTCAGGTTCCCAGACAACCAGGTTCCCAGACTTATGTTTTGGTAGTGTTTTTTTTCTAAAAATATAATTAATGAAGAGAGGGAAATATCAATAGTAATTAGCTGTAATTATCATTTGATATTGTTAGTATTAATTATCAACAATATTCACCAGTAAATTATTATTTATTGAATTCTTATCAGTTTACAGTTCAGCTGGTTAGTAGTTTTAATACTTATTTACATTCAGAATCTTTCTTATAAATTATCACTATTATTATTAGTCCTCAAGAATGGATGTCTCTTGGGACAAATTGTTAATTTGCATTTTTCTTGAACCGGTCACTTCTGAAAATACTGATAAAACTAAACAGACACTAGCAATCGCTTGTGGTCAATAAATTATTTTAACAAGTTGTACTGATTCTTTGAAAAGTATTATGTCTATTTTTGTTTTTAACTTAGATTAGTGGTTTTATTGTTTTTTTATTCAGAATACAACAGAAATCATGAAGTGAAGTTCTCACTAATAAATACATTTTGTGAATTGACATTTTTTTTTTGCATGCCAACAAAATTTAGGCTCAGTTTTAATGGATTTCTAAGATATCTGGGAATATTTTGGAAAACTCAAGAGATATTTAGTCGTGTTTCTTACATTCCTCAATAAATCAATAAAAAATCATTAAAAAAATTATTATTATTGTGACAGCTCTATTTATGTAGATTTCATTGGTCAGATTATAAATGCATATTTTATAAAAGATACAAAAATATGCAGAAATAGGTTGAAAAAAAGAGAACTATATGAGTTTTTATCACCTGGAATATGCTAAAAAAACAAATCTATTAAATTCAATGCATGTAATGCAACTGAAAATATGATTGTTTGTGAGCCTGCAAATTTGAGGCAGGTTTGCTGCTTCTGTGATATCAAACTTTCAAATTATATTAAGAATTAAGCAAGTACAATGTCTTGTAATTTTCTGGCCTTTTCATTGCCCTGTTGACCTTAATACAGTCTGATCTGCAGCCTGGTAATGTAATATCCATATAATGAACAGGGAAAGATTCAAATGGTTAGAAAGTTGACTAAATTGAATTATTGAATAAGATTCTGTCTGACAGGCGAATATTGATTAAGCCTCATTGTTAGAGATCAGGAACTATCTGTCTGTAACAATTTATATATAAATTATATTGGTTAGAAATATTAAAACACAACTTGAATCATGTTGTTACTCAGAGTTTCACTCTATGCTATGTTTTTGATATTTCTATATCGCTCTACAATTGATATATTGAGCACTATTTTAACAGTGATATTTCTATATCGCTCTACAATTGGTGTATTAAGCACTATTTAAACAGTGGTATTTCTATATCGCTCTACAATTGATGTATTGAACACTATTTTAACAGTGGTATTTCTATATCACTCTACAATTGGTGTATTGAGCTCTATTTTAACAGTGAAAATATTTTATAATAATATAAATTATATTATAATCATATATATAACTGCCTATTTCAATCGATCCTGTTAGAAATATGTTGGAATACGAATTTCCAAGACTGCACATGAGGCTGCAGACAATTGCCAATGGCTAATAAAAACACAAAAGATTTCCTTTGGCCCCTTCTTTGGGAAACCTAATGATTAATAGAAATGCAACTGCCTATATTGTGAAATGTGATAGCTATTAAGGCTTTCATCATCTTCTCATTAGCAGAATATTGTTTTTAGATCAACAGAAATAGTTTAGAAAGGCTGTTGCTTCGTAAACACTGTGCCTTTCATGTGTCATGATTTAATTTGGAGCATGAGAAAATATCTATATGAACAGATTGTAAGTTTCTGTGTTTGGTATGGTTTAAAGATTGACGGTATATTATATTTTCAGATGAAATGTGTGAACTACAAGCTACAATAGAGTTTGCTGTAGAATTAAACAGGTTTTATAATGTGGACTTATTTCAGAGAGGGTAAGACTATTTTATATTTGTAAATCCTTTAGAGCAAGGCCAAAAATAGTACCAGTAGACCTTACATTTTTGGATACCCTTTATCTGTAGGCTTTACAGATGTTCTTAGACATCTATGCATCTCTATTTTAATGTGATTAGGAAAATAGTGGACCTAAAATTTTGAAAACCCTTCATCATTTTACCATATTTTATAATATTGTAAGCTATATAGATTGATGAATGCACCTAGGTCATGTATCAATATATTCAATTATAGTGTTCAGTAGAAGATTGATATAATATTCACCTTGTGCCTAGTAGTGAGCAGTTATCTTGATCATTTTAATATCTATGTATGTCCATTTCAGCTTTTATCAAATACGCACATCCATTCGCATGTCACCAAAATCACCTGCTAAAATAGAAGTTTGTTTTCCTAATGATATAGGTAAGTAACCCTCTTATTGTAATTCAGCTGTAATTTTCCTGACCTTCTTTCCTGAAATAAGCCAGTAAGGATTAAAGGAAATAAAATGAAATAGTATTTTTCAGCCAATGTTTCTGCTTCTGATTAAGCTAATGAAGACAGATTAAATGGAGAGATAGTAATTTCATTAGATGTCTTGTTCACTGGTTTAGAATTGATAGGTGTTCTAGACTTACCATATTCCTTTAACAGTGACAGATATAATTCTATAAGTTTATGGAATTTTAGCCAAATGTCCTGATGAGGGTGTTGTACCAGAAACATCTGTCATTTAAGTATAACATGAGCTCTTGTCATTTAAGATGTTGATTATATTTCAGAATGTGATTCTCTACTTCCCTCCAGTATAGTTGATAATGTAGCTATCAGTAAAACATTTCAAATATTATATCGTAACGAGGATGTCTTAATTAACGACCCTATGATATTCAGAATTCATACTCTGGTAGACAGTACTAAGGTATGTACTGGATAAAATGATTTGATTGGTCACTGGGATGGAATAATGGCTTTATAGGAGGGCTTCTTTTCTCAAGTCATAAGATTTTGATATGATATGAATTTAGAAATTTATATATAGAAATAACTTACACTTACAACAAAACTGTATTGTAAGAAAGGAGTTGATTTGTCTGTGGTTTTGGCCTATTTTCCTGATGTAAAGTGTTAACACATTACAACTTACCTATTAAAATAGTTGATCTTGAATATTTTTGAGCAACTGCTCCGGGTGAAATGTTGATTTAGTTGAGATTAAAACAAATCTAGTTCAAAATACTAAAAAGCTGCCCGAAGACATGAGGATTATAAAAATATCCACCTATGTTCATATAGCTTTACTTTGTATATCAATTTATCACACAACAGTTTTGTTCTCTCGTTCATAACACAGGTTTAAAAAAAACGATATATTTTTTATGTTTGAAAGCTCTTCAACATGATTTTAAGAATCTAAGTTATATTTACTGTATGTTTTATTTTAGTTGGAAGAAAACCTGGAGAATTTAGACATGCAGTTATGTGTAGAATTATGGTTTGGAGAGGAAGATTTTGGGTAAATATTCTAAGAGTTATTGATAAGGGGAAACTGGGTTGTGAAGTCTGAAGGAACTAAGCAAACCTTAGCGAGTAAGCATGGTCAGCGAGCAAGCATCTACCTGCATCACAACTGCTATCTGAGACACTCTGAGCACCAACAAGTTACAGATTTTGTTTTGATATTTCTATTTTGTTCTGTATTTAATGCACAATTTCTGCTTGCTGAGAATTTCAGATCAATAAATATTAAATCAGAATCTGAAACATGTTTTTTTTTAAAATGCTCTACAAATGATATATTGAGCACTATATTAGTAACATGATGTATTGAGCACTATATTAGTAACATGATGTATTGAGCACTATACTAGTAACATGATGTATTGAGCACTATATTAGTAACATGATGTTTTGAGCACTATATTAGTAACATGATGTTTTGAGCACTATATTAGTAACATGATGTATTGAGCACTATACTAGTAACATGATGTATTGAGCACTATATTAGTAACATGATGTATTGAGCACTATACTAGTAACATGATGGATTGAGCACTATATTAGTAACATGATGTATTGAGCACTATTTTAGTAACATGATGTATTGAGCACTATATGAGTAACAGGATGGATTGAGCACTATTTTAATAAGAATATTTTGTTATTGTAATTTCAGATCTACACTACTAGAGAAAATGGAGATGGTGAGTGAAAGAATACTGCAGCTACATTTTAATCCTGTAAACGGCCTCCATCATCATCTACCAGTTTTATTTGACTATTTTCATCTAGCATGTATAGAGGTTACGATACATGGTTGTTTAATAGCTCTACATCAACCCTACTTAAAGTAAGTTTAGTCTCCCCCCACCCAGTCTTCTAGCCTCCTTTCCTTTCCCCACAGCTACATTGCTCCCCCACACCCTATAAATTTATTTCCTCCGTGTTTTCTACTAACCTCTCAAATAACTCTGAATCAGCCTTACTTGAATAGATTAAGTTAAAATCTCCTTACAAGATGAAGGAGCTACTTACTATCTGAGAAGGAAGCAAGTCTTTATGATTTGATGAATGTCTGTCTTGGTGTAATGGTATTATATTTATTTTGCAGTATGCCTAGACCAGCTAAAACAGCTG